GCTTATCAACTGCAGTCCTCAGGAATTTCTCGTCAATAAATCCTCTGCTTCCACACTCAAGGTGTATCTTCACACCATGAGGGAGAGGCCCACGTTGGAAAACACCCACGTTGGCGCACCAGATATAGGGTCCAGCCCTGCAGGGTTCTGTGAGCCCCTCACTGCTGGTGCAGAGATGAGAAACTGTAAAAATAAAAGACGCAGACACAGAGATACAGAAAAGAGAGTTTGGGCTCGGGGCCCACTGCCAACCAAAGCACAGAGACCTGCAGTGGCACCGAGTGCCTGGACATTGACTTTTATTGAGTACAAAACAGTGAGCAGGGAAGGTAGGGTGAGGTAATGGTGGTCAGTGATAGGGTCAGGTAAATCATGTGTCTTGAAGATAGGGGGCCCAGGACTTTCAAGTAGCTGAGTCGAGAAAAGCTAATGCGTCAGTGCTCTTCGCAATTTTGTTAGAAATGTCAAGGACATTAATTCTTATCTTGAGAAAAAGAGAAACCAGTTGCAGAAGGAGGGAGTGAGAGTAAACGTGAGACGTGACCACTGAAGCATCACCTCAGTTCCATGCTTCATAACCCAATAGTCATTAGCAGAATTAAAGGTTATATTGAGTATATATCTTTATGATTATAAGTAACTATAAGATTACATATGATTATATAAAGGAATAACTATGTGCCTATGTTTCTAATTCTTTTCTAAATCAATATTTATATGGGAACAGGCTGAGGCTTCAGACCCTTGCAACAGCATTTGCAGGGTTCCCCTCCACGCTCTAGGATCCAGCATAATCACCAATACCACCGCTACTATCTTCCTGGAAATGGCTGTGACCCAAGTAAGCAAAATCCACAGCAACACAGCTTTTAGCAGATGGCCAAGACCTTGCCAAGCTACCAGCCTGTATGAACCCACCTGGCTGGAAAGACAGCAGGGCTCCAGTAAACCTGGCCCCACCAACAACATAAGTTTTTTGTTTGTTTTGAGACAGGGTCTTACTCTAACACCCAGGCTGGAGTAAAGTGGTGCCATCTTGGTGCACAGTAGACTTGACCTCCCAGGCTCTAGTTAGCTACCCACCTCAGCCTCCCAAGTAGCTGGAACTACAGGCACATACCACCACATCCATCTACTTTTTGTGTTTTCTGTAGAGACAGGGATTCACCATGTTGCCCAGGTTGCTCTTGCAGGACTCAAGTGATATGCTCACCTCAGCTTCACAAAGTACTCTTGATTACAGGCATAAGACACCATACCTACCCCCAATGTGATTTCTCTTTTGGATACAGGGTCTCACTGTCACACAGGTTGGGGAGCAGTGGCACGATCTCAACTCAATGCAAACTCCACCTCCCGGGTTCAAGCAATTCTCGTGCTTCGACCTCCCAAGTAGCCGGGATTACAGGTGCACATTACCACACCCAACTACTTTTTGTAATATTAGTAGAGATGGAGTTTCATCATGTTGGCCAAGCTGGTCTCAAACTCCTAACCTCAGGTGATCTGCCCATCTTAGCCTCCCAAAGTGCTGGGATTACAAGCGTCAACTACTGTGCCCGGCTCCCAATAAGATTTCTTAGAGACAGTTATTGAGCAATCAGCCACTGCTGCCAAGCCACTTTCCAGGTGAACATGATGACTCTAACCTCTGTATCAAATCTAATCCCAAAAATAACCCTAATTCCAAACTTAGCCTTTACCAGCCCTGGCTCTACCTACCTGTGTTCCACCTCCCCACTCACCCAAACTGAATTCCAATGGTTACAGAGACACAAAACAGGTGTGCAATGTCATCCTACACAACCCTGGACTCCATAGGCCAATCACATCTGTCCCAGGCACGGACCTGCTCAACAGCTCTTATCAAGAGGATCTAGGGTACTTTGCAGTATAATCTATAGGGACCCCCAACCCCCAAGCCAGGCTCCAGGATGAAAATTGGTGTCATAAAAGCAGAGTGAGCGACATCAGGCAGAGCCTGCCAACTCTGGACCAGGCAAGCTAAGGAACATCAGGTGTAATAGCTCAATGTTTAAGTGCCATCAGCACTTAGTTCAGTTCATGGGACAACTCCCTTGTCAGGGACTGTGGGTAACCCCCCATCTGGGCAACAAGGAAGGAGAGCTAAACAGATACCCGGCACAATTAGTGCTTGAAGAATATTACTCAGTTATTTCCTTTATGTAATCCTTTATATATAATCACATATTTATTTATAGAATTAGTGCCTGAAGAATATCTTACTAGTTATTTCCCTATACACACACACACACACACACACACACACACACACACACACACACACATATATATCTTAGTTCATACTCGGAGGAATGCCTAGAGCAGACACAGTACAGAACATGAATTAAGGGATAAGCAGCTATACATAAATGTATCTTGCTTATAGTCAGAGGAATATCTAGAGGAGACACAGTGCAGTGCATCATTTAAGGGAAAAAACGGTTACACCAGGACAAGAATCTGGCCCAGGCAGCAGCATTCAGTATTGTAAAGATAGCCACTGTATGGCAGGATTGGGGCAAGAGCCTCTCCTCCTGAAAAAAGTTGTAGTACCTTGCGTCCAGTTATTGTGGAAGGCTGCCCTCAGACAGGCAATCCCATGAGCCTCCGAAGGCTTAAAATCCCTCCAGTATAATCACGCATTGGTGACTGTATAACTTGTCAGCTCTCTAGCTACTATGCTGATTCAGATCATCCTCCTACAGAAATCACTGGAAGCTGCCAGCAGGTGGCTGTGGACCTTGTCAACTGCTGCTGCTCAAAGCATCCTCCTACAGAAGCCCTTAGAAGCAGCCTACCCCTATATTGCACACTGCACACCCCTTGCTACACACTGCCCACCTCCTAGCCTAGGTGACCTAATGGTGGTGGACCCCTTGTTTATTGCTCACGTGATTGCCGACCCTAACACTGTCCTTAAGATGACCTCACTCACTACTGTTCCCCCATCTGGTACCCAATACAGACGCTTCTGGACATTCAGGTCTCATCTGTCTCAGCTCATAGGTGGCGTGGTGTGGCGTGGCGCCCACCCCACCCCCGTGGCCCAGCTGTCTTTTCCAGTCCTTCTGTGTCCTGTCTCTTTACTTCTTGGATCCTGCACCTCAATACAACGATAGGGGACACCCCATGACCCTCTAGGGCTGTGGCCCTACAAGAGACCAGTGAGCCCAGGGCCTGAAGACCTCTGTCCTGGGACTGCTAAGCTGTGCAGACAGTATATGACTTGGCGGGACATGTTCCTTGGGTGAGTTCTCTTGTTCAGGAGGAGCAAATGACGCCAAACCCATGAAAACACATGGACATAGAGTTGGTAAATGTATCAAACATAGTGAACAAAATACATAAAACATTTTCAGCTTTTGAAGAAAAACTTGCAAGCTGCAAAATCATCTCATAAAGCAACCAGGAAGAGTAATTTAAGATCCTCTGTGAGGAAGCTGCTCTGCTCTAAGAATGCCTAAAGAAGAGTTAAAGAAAACCCAAGGTTGTCAAAAAATCCGCTTGTTAACTTGAGATCAAGGGACTTAAATAACATATTAGAAAGCGAGCTATCTCTGCACACATTACAAAATAATATGGGGATGTATGAACAAGCTTCCAAGAGAAATGAGACTTGATGATAACCATGGTGAGTACAGAGATGCCCTTAACTGAGCTCTGCCAGGTTAAGGAAGGGTTTGAGATTAGAGGTGATAGAGGGATTATAGAAGGCAAACAATGATGTTAGTGACAAACAGCTCTGCAAGCTGAGTCTGTATCTATAACCCCAAACCTTAACCTTCACCTAATTTCTAACCCTTAGCCCATCATCCCTAACACCTAATCTCTAACACTAACCACACCACTGATCCACAACTAACTCTAACCCAATCCTCTCACCCTAAAACCTCACCTTCACCCTCTAACCCTTACTCTATCCCCTAAGACTCACCCTAAACCCCCATTACTCTCTAATCCTCTCCATCACCCTCACCCCAACCCCAAACTGATCCTCATGTCAAACTGGGACCCTTAGGCTGGATAGACCAGCAATAGGTGGTTTTAACAGGACCCAGTAGGGAACCCCTGGAGAACCAGAGACACCAGCAAAGGAAAAAAGGAAAGATCTGCCCTAGCATCTCTTTTACTCAGGCACTCCAAACTATGGAAAACATCTGAGAGCAAACGGTCAACCACCAATGGGGGATGTGGGAAGGACAGCGAGGTGATGGTAAGATCCAAAAGGTAAGGGCTATCCTAGTCCCATCATCCGAAGTCCCTAAGGGACAGTTAATTTATTGGCTCGTTCCAATATGGAAGACTGAACATCAGATCCATGGGGCATCTCATGAGAAACAAGAGTATTAAAAGGTTTAGTAAAAGAGTGTTTAGGTGAAATGTAAATGAAACAGTGTTTTGATAGCACATAACAAGACAGGGCTGGGTAGCGGGATAAAGACAAGGTCTGAACTGTGAAGTGAACCAGGCTTCTGTTTCCTTGCAATGCAGAGTTCTAAAACCCCTTACTTGAAGCTCTGCATCTGGGTTGTAAATCAAGGAATCTTTTTGAGATCAGACATTTCCTTCCTACGCACAGCAAAGTGACTGTCCATGTTTTTTTTTGTTTTGTTTTGTTTTGTTTTGTTTTTTGAGACAGAGTTTCGCTCTTGTTACCCAGGCTGGAGTGCAATGGCGCGATCTCGGCTCACCGCAACCTCTGCCTCCTGGGTTCAGGCAATTCTCCTGCCTCAGCCTCCTGAGTAGCTGGGATTATAGGCACGCGCCACCATGCCCAGCTAATTTTTTGTAGTTTTTAGTAGAGACGGGGTTTCACCATGTTGACCAGGATGGTCTCGATCTCTTGACCTTGTGATCCACCCGCCTCGGCCCCCCAATGTGCTGGGATTATAGGCGTGAGCCACCGTGCCCGGCTGTGCATGTTTCTAATAAACAATGATTCTCGGTAGGAAAACAGACACTCAAAAGGGTCATTATGACACTTTACATCTGCACAGTGACCATGGAGGAAATCTGTTTCCTGAATCTGTTACCTCAGCCTGATGAATCATAGGGCATAGAGCCACTTTCTCACACAAATCTGATGTTTACTTTCCTGGAAGCCAGTTATGCTAAGATCTGGAGGAAGAGTAATCCAGGCAAAAGTAAGAGCAAGACCTTGAGGCAGGATGAAATTCAGTTGCCTGAGGAGCAGAGGGGGACCATATCAGAGAGGCCGTCAGGGGAGTAAACACATGCAGGCCTAGGTAGGGCATTGTACATCAGCCTTCATATTGTATTCTAGGTACAGGAAAGTCATGGATCAGGAGAATGTGATCCACCATACATGAAGAGTCAGTCTGGCTAACACAGCAGGCAAGGTAAGAAAAGTCACATGTAGAATGAGCAGTAGTGAAGATAAAGAAAACATGAAATATTTGAGATTTATTTTGAAGACAGAGCTGATATGCCAGCTAAAGTACTCAAAGTATATAGTGCTTGAAAGATAGCAATCAAGGATTACACAGGCTTCTTGCCATATCAACTAGATGAGCAGTTGTGTCATTCACTGAAAAGCAGAAGCCAAAGGGAAACTAGAGCTTAATCAAGTGGTTTAAACATATCACGTTTGAAATGCCTATGAAATACCCCAGTGGAAATGCTTAGTAGGCAGTTGGGGTCCGGGTTTGGGAACTGAGTTTGGGAGACACTAGCAAATACTGAGCCACCAATAAGGATTAGGTCACCTGGAGATTCCCAATTCCATGGAAGAGAGGACCTGAGACTGACATGGCCAACATTTAGGCAAGAAGTCAGCTGAGGCTCAATCCGGGTCTCAGGCCAGAATTGTTAGGGCAAGAAGATCCTTGCTCTTAAGAACAGAGCCTGGCCTGGTGGGGGCCATACTGGTTCCCTGAGGATGACACATGGTCAGGAATGAAGGCAACATGGACAAAGGACCCAGGTGGGAGCCTGGACCAGGGATACCAGACCCCAGCATCTTCTGTACTTTCTCTAACACAGGTGGTCTTTCATCCCTTACCCAATTTTACCAAAAATAGAGATTAGGACAATGTGACATAACAGCATAAAGCACTAAACCATTTAACAGGGATTCCCTTCAAAAGTGAAAACCACTGTACGATTAAATAGATTTCCAACTAATCTTTGTTACCAACAGCCACTTAAGCTAATCCTAAAGACTGACTACAATATTCTTCTGCAATACCCTGTACACTCACTTCAATTTATTGTATGTTTTCCAACTGCACCTCTCTCTCTCTTCTGGAAGAGGGAACATTTCATCAAAAAACAAATGAGTTCTTGTGCCTGTCTGATGGTCTCACACCTGCACAACAGCTCCAAATCCTTGGACCAGGCAGGGAAAGACCAACTCCAGGGTTCTCTGCCAACAGAAGTCCTGGAAAGACTCTGCACTCAAGACAAACCCCTACACCACCCCAAGGGAGGGGGACTGTTTCAAGTTGGGGGAGAAGCTAAAAGAAATTGAACCTAAACTCTTCATCAGGCAGAGCAGTTTCCAGAGTGGCTTTGGTTCTCCCTAAAGGGCGAGGCCTGCAGACCCTTTGGCTCTTCTTTCTAGTGGCTTCATCTACAGGCTGCACCTGGGCTGAATAAGCAGCTGTCAGGGGGAGAGAAGCAGAGTATGTCAGGACTGAATAATAACAGCTAACATTATCTGTACAGTATATTTGCTCATACAATTCCAACCACTTTGCATAAATTAACTGATTAATTCCTCAAATTTGTAAGGTTGATATTACCATCACCCCCATTTAGAGAGATTCAGTAGTTTGCAAAAGGTGTCAGTGCTACTATGTGACAGATCCAGGATTTGAACCTAGTTCATATGGCTCTAGGAATTGCACTCAAACTGTTATGGGATATGACTTCATGGCCACTAGAGAAAGCCAAGACACAAAGACATGAGGCAGCTTTCCCCAACCCAGGAGCAGGACCAACATAGAACGAAGCTCTTTCCCCCTCCTCCCAGGGCCTCCCCACTGCTTCCCAGGTTCAGTCCTACAAAGAGGGGAAAGAGAGGTCCATGCTTTATCTCTCCCTGTTCCCTCAGCCTTCCCTGAGCCCATCTCCTTCCCCCACCAGCCTTGTTGCTCTGGGCCTTCTTCCTTTCACTCCCCAGGCACTTCCTCCTTAAATTAGGCCTTCCTGAACCAACCAGTTGCTAGCTCCTCACCAGCTCTGAGAGCCCGCAGGGCCTCACGCCATTCGGCTTCCATCTGAGCCCTGTAGTCTCCAAACAAGGAGTGCATCAGCTGCCTCTTCCGGGGCAGGGGAGTTCTTTTGCTGCGCAGGGTTCGGATTGCTCCAACAGCCTGCTCTTCTGTGAATAAAAATAAAGGACTAGTTAACATCTCTATACTGACCTCCTGCCCCCCCACCGCAAAGGCAACAACTCCATCCCCTGCCAGCACCTGCAGGCCAGACAGTGCCAATATTCACATCCCCTAACTCTACAGAAGGGTCCCTTACTCTGTTTCGGAGTGGGTTTCTGCCTCTTGAGGCCCAGCTCCAGCTGCTCCACACACCAAGCCAATTCTTGGGCCAACTGCTGTGCCTGTGATGGATTGGGGGAAATGGCTGTGAGAGGGCACTGGGACACCACAGCCCCTGGCCCCATCCCATCCCCCTCCCCGCCTTAACTCCGTGGACCCACACCACACGAGCCCGTGGATTCGCACCCGGGATTCCACCCTTCCCGACTGATACCCGCCCTTGCCTGGGCCTCAGCGCTTAGGGGGACTTCCTCTGGGGCGGGTTTCTCTGAGGCCTTCTCGCCGCCATTTGCCACAGAGGCCCTGTTCAAGGTTTTCTTCTTCTTCTTCTTTTGTTTTTTCGACGCTGCGCTGCCTTCATCGCCTAACGGGTGCACTCTGGAGGCGGTGTTACTGCACGTGCGTTGCCCTGGGCAGAGACAGACAGCGGAAGGATTCCCGGCGCTAGAAACCGGGTCGAGGAGCAGGTGTCTGCGGGACGCGCGGGGACTCCCCGGGGCTGGGACCGCCGCTGCCTCCCCGGCAGAATGTCCTAGGGCCTGGAGAAAGGGCGACAGCGCAAGGGTCACAGAGGGCCACAGACACTGTAAAGCCCCGCCACCCGCGCGTCTTCTCCACACCGCTCACCGCCATGCGCCGCAGTAGCCACCGGAACTACGAGGCGCAGAGTCCGACGCCGAATTCCGTCCTCCAGCAGCGCGCCTGCGACTCCGGGTTCCGCAGGGCGCAGGCGGGGCGGGGCGCGGAGCCGTAAGGGGCGGGGCCTCGGGGCTCCGGGAAGAGGCTGCGGTGGGTCTCGGGAGGACCCCGTAAGCGAGTGCTCCCGGGCATTGATTACGTGCCCGGCACCTTTCCGGACAAAAGTTCAAAGCTCTACACAAGGGTGTGTCCTCTCAAGGCTCACCTTTGGGTGGGGAGCGAAAAGCAAGTGAACAGCACAGGAACAGCTGTGGCGCAGGAGGGGTGTCGGCAAAAACCCCTGGGAGCCGGGGAAGAGACACCGGCCTGGGACCCGGTGCAGCCCGCGACGCTCGCTCGGCGAGGGTCAGGGCGCGGTGGGGTGAGAGGCCGGCGTTGCGGGACGCGGGGGCGGGGTGAGGTCTGAGGTGGAGGGGACGTGGATGGGTTTCAGAAACAGACGCGGGAAGAGCTTTGGACGGAATATGGGCGTGAGGGAGGGTGGCGGCATGGGTAAGCGGGAGAGAGCCCCGTCCCGCCTGCCTTCCCCCGGTTGCTTCCCTCCCTCCGTGTCTTACTGGAGACCTGGGGTCACACGCAACACTCGACCCCCGCCGATGAAGGCCTCACGACCGGGAGGAATTGCCTAGAGGCTGAGGTGAGGCCGAGTGAGGCGCCAGGAGGTGGGTTGGGTTGCTTGAGAAGGTCAGAGTCGGCGATGGCTGATGATTCCTGTCGGGGACACGGGAGTGGAAAGTGGTGTTTCCTGAGACGGTGGGAGGGAAAGTGTTAGCTGCCTGGCCTGCAGGGTCTCAGAGGGCAAAGGTTTGGTCATCACTGATAGTTATTTACAGTAGTTTGACAGATTACCCCCAAAATTCAGCGGATTGAAAACACATATTACCTCATACTTTTCTGAGGGTCAGGGATCTAGCAATAGTGTGGCTAGTGGTTGTAGCTCATGGTCGCTCATGAAGTTGCTTCACCTTTTGAAGGGAGGAAGACTTTTTAGACGTTTTAAAACCACTACAGTTTGGTTTGTGTTTTAGTCCCAGGAGACTGGAGGGAGTGCATTCCATCTCCAAAAGGGCCTTTCTCTGCCTCCGTTGACTGGTCCAAAACTGCTTCTTCCAGAAAACTTTCTCAATCCAGACATCTGCCTGAACACAGGCCTCACACCCGATTCCTTCCTCTTCCCCAGGCAACAGGTCCTATCCATTTATTTCGAAAATAATCTCCACTGCCACCCACCCCCCACCCACCGCCTGCTGCAAGCTCCCACACACATCATCCCCCAGCCTGAACCACTGGAACGAATTACTCACTCATCTCTGTGCTTCCAGTCTCAGTTCTTCCTGTCTTTCCTGAACCACCTGCTGCTACATTGATCTTTCTAAACAAAAACTGGCCATAACAGTGGCCATGGCTTCTACCTAAAAATCTTCCATTTTCCCTGGATAAAGTCCAAGGCCCTTAACTGCCATGGACTACCCTTTACCTGACTGTCCAGCCAGCACATGCCCTACAAATCATACATACATAACTATTTCTAGACCTTGCTGTACTCTGCCTCCACTGATCCCCCCCCACTGATCCCCTCATTCCTCTGAGGATGCAGCAAGAAGGCCCTAACCAGATGCAGCCCTCCCAATCTTGGACTTCCCAGCCTACAAAACCAGAGGCCAAATCAATGTATTTTCTCTACAAATTGCCCAGTCTCATATAGTCTTTTATAGCAGCACAAAACGAAGCACCTTGACTATTTTTGGCCCTTTGTCTTTGTGTATACTTACTATTATTATTATTGAGACCAAGTTTCACTCTGTCACTGTGGCCAGAGTGCAGTTGTGTGATCCTGGCTCACTGCAACCTCTGCCTCCCTGATTCAAGTGATTCTCATGCCTCTGCCTCCCTGATTCAAGTGATTCTCATGCCTCAGCCTCCCAAGTAGCTGGGACTACAGGTGCACATTACCACGCCCATCTAATTTTTGTATTTTTAGTAGAGACGGGATTTTGCCATGTTGACCAGGCTGGTCTGGAATTCCTGACCTCCAGTGATCCGTCTCAGCTCCCAAAATGCTGGGATTGCAGGCATGAGCCACTGTTCCTGTATATGACCACATACATTTTTTAAATCAGCCTTTTTTCCCATTAAAAACTTCTTTGAGATTTTTATAAGAATAGCAATAATTCTATGGAGCATTTGGGGGGAAATTGAATCTCCATATTAAATAAAATAAATCTAACCCAAACCTGGTATACCTCTTTATTTATGTCGGTTTTCTTTTAGTATTTTAATACAGTTTTATAACTTTCTCTGTGAATACCTTCCACATTTTCTTAATTATTCCCTGACATGTTTTTAATTGCTATTGGCATTCAAATTGGAGCATAAATCATCTGTATCTTTATGGTATATTAAAAATATTTGCTTTTTGTCCCAGGTTCAAGGCAGAGAGCTCCTAAAACAGTTGGAATTTCCTCAGCGATAAGGGTGATCGGAGCATGTTTTGTTCTGAGGTGACTCTTGGCAAGCCCCTAGATAGCTTAGGAACAGTGGCTGGTCACCAGAAAGACCAAGCCTTGATTAGAAGCTTGGAGGTTCTGACCCACCCTTCAATCTCTGGGAACCGGAAAGGGGCTGGAGATCGAGTTAATCACCAATAGACACAATCATGCCTGTATAATGAAACCTCCATAAAAACTCCAAAATGACTGGGTCTTGGCAGATTTTGAGTTAGCTCAGATATCTATATGCCAAGTAAGTGGTGTGCCCAACCTCCACAGAGACAGGGCTTTTTGTGCTTGGGACCCTTCTGAATCTTGCCCTGTCTTAATCTGTCTGTTCATGGTAAAGGTAAACATAGCATTTTCCTGAGTTTTGTGAACCATTCTAGCAAATTATTAAACCTGGGAGAGGAGGTGGCTTGGGGAAATGCCCAACTTTATAGCAAAGTCAGACAAGTGTGGGTAACCTGGGTACCTATTTGCAACTGTTGTCTTAAGTGAAGGCAGACTTGTGAGACTTAACCTTAAACCTGTGGAGTCAGATACTAACTCTGGGCAGGCAGTACAATAATCAAACAGATTTTGTTGGACACCCAGTTGGTGCTGAAGAAGGACCCACGTATTTTGTCAGGAGAGGAAAAATCTCTTAACCCATAATAATATCTTTTTTGTCTCTCAAGTCTATCAATTATTAAGAGAGGCATATAACACTCTCCCACTATAATGGTGAATTGGTGTATTGCTCTTTGCCATTCTATAATTTTAGGTATATTTGAGGGGTTTTTTCCTTCTGTAAATTTAAAATATTTATAACTTTATGGTGAATTTGAATGTTTCAGAATTATGTAATGACATTCTTTTACCTATAGTAAAACTTTTGGTCTTACAGTTGATTTCATATAATAGCTGTACAGTTTCAACAGTTTTCTTTTCTCCATGTTCTTACTTTCAAACTTTGTGCTCAAGTTTTTTTTTTTTTTTTTTTTTTTT